GTTGCCTTCTTTTTTTTTTCTTCATTGTAGTCCTGGCTGCCCTAGAATTTGCTTGTTCTAAGACTAAGTTGACCTCAGACAAACAGAGATCCATCTGCCTAATAATGCTGTGTCATCATAGATTAGTTAGATTGTTGATGTTTTATTTAGAACACAATCAATTAAAAAATAGCCTAATAAGTTACGAGGCAGGGTCTCATGTTACTGGGACTGGCCTAGAAAGCTCTTTTGCTGAAAGCCTTGAACGGACCCTCCTATTTCTGTCTCCTTTGTGCTGGAATTGTAAGGGGGGGGTACCGCATATGGCTCACAAACTCCAGCTCTGTGGGGGTGTGGGGGGAGGAAGAGGAGGGTCCAGTGCACTCTTCTGATCAACCGAATACATAAACACACACACACACACTCATTGCTTTATTAGTGCTTAACTATCATTTTCTTTTTTTGCTTTGGTTTTGATTTTGGTTTTTCGAGACAAAGTTTCTGTGTAGCTTTGGAGCCTGTCCTGAAACTAGCTCTTGTAGACCAGGCTAGCCTCGAACTCACAGAGATCCTCCTGCCTCTACCTCCCGAGTGCTGGGATTAAAGGAGTGCACCACCACCCCGTGGCTCTTAACTATCTTTCTTAAGAGACCATTTGAGTATGCTTGAATTTAATGTTCTGTTATTGACACAGTTTCTTGGTAGCTTTGGATGTTCTGGTACTTGCTATGTAGATCAGGCTGGCCTCAAACTCTTAAGAGATCTACTTCCTTCTCTCTGCCTCCTGATTGCTGGTTATCACACTGGCTTATCTGAGTATCTTTAATGCAAAACTTTTTAAGTTTACAGGTAACGATTCCATTAGTGTCTTATGTGTTGTTACTGAGGAAGACTTGAAACTGACTAGTGATGGGATGGTTGAAAGTTACTTCAGTGTAGTTTTAATTTGCTCAGATATGCAGGAACATTTGGTAGAGGATTGGGTTTAGTTGTGATCTGAGATCTCAAATTTTTTACCTTGGAGTTAGGTCCGTCCGTCTGTCTGTCTGTCTTCCATCCGTCCTCCTTCCTTCCCTCCCGCTGTTTCTTTTCCTCTTTTTCTGTTTGGTTTCTCTAGCTCTGGCTTCCCTGGACTCATGTTACTAGACTGGCCTCTGCAGAGACTGAAAGTGTGCACCACCGTGCTTGATTGGAGTTAATGTATCTGCTAAGGAATACTGGAGGTTTTTAAAAAATAGCACATTTATTTAATGTGTATGGGTGTTTGTTATACATGTGTGTATATGTACTGCTGACCCTTGTCTCAAATACACAAACAATAACAGAAGTTAGAAACAAAAAGAAAAAAGGTGAAACCTTTTGGTTCCTAGTGCCAGGGTTTCAAACCCTCTGCCCTTTTTGTCCTAGGAACACAAAGGCTTTTGACATGTAGATTTTTTTCTGATCCTTATTCAGCTTTATCCAGAGGCTTTTGGGTGACTATTTTTCATTTATTTACTTAATTTTGTTGTTTGGTTTTTTTTTTTTTTTTTTTTTTTTTTTTTTTTTTTTTTTTTTTTTGGTTTTTCAAGATAGGGTTTCTGTTTGTAGCTCTGGCTGTCCTGGAATTAGCTTTGTAGACCAGGAGGCGTTGAACTCAGAGATCCGTCTGACTCCACTTCCTGAGTGCTGGGATTAAATGTGTGTGCCACTAATGCCTGGCTATCCAGAGCCTTTTTTTTTTTTTTTTTTTTTATTCTCCTGCTATATAGGATATGGTCATCAACTGTAGGTGGTAAGGCTTGGGGAAGTACTTTTAGCTCATATAAAGGACTGGCAACAACTTGAGAAACTATTGTTTCTTTGTTTTTCTGTTTGGCAGAGGAGATAGTTGGCATGCCTTCTGCAGCTCTTTGGTTATCTTCAGACACTCACTACATTGCTCTCCAGATCAGAACCACACCATGCTAGAGAGTGTTAGTAGAGGTAGTAGTTTTGTTTAGTTGTGGTGTGTCCGTCTGCGTCCCCCCCCCTTGTTTTTTCTTTTTTTCTCTAATCAGGATCTGGATATGCAGATTAGGCTGGCCATGACTTTTGGATCCTCCTAGCATGCTGGAATGTGTGTTTACAGCCATGTATGGCAACAGTAGCATTTTTTATGCCATCTATGATTGTAACAGTAACGATACTAATGGCTCTCTCTCTTAACATACCAGCAGTAACTATCTTTTATAAAATGTCCACTGTATGGTAATAATAGTTCAGTGTGTGTTTTGAGATGCCCATTTCCTTTTGGAATAGGACCATTGTCTTTTGTAAACTCATGTGGTGAGGGACAAAAGAAGTAAGTCAAAGCAGTTTGTCATCAGATACCCAGACTGTGCCTTCAGTATTTATTGTGAAGCACTACACGACTTTGACTAGTTGCTTGGTTTCCCCTACACTATCTGTGAATGAGTTGTAATCCGCATAGATGATCATCGGTGCTTTCCTTCCAAAAGCACTTCCTAGCATCTCAGTTGCTGGTCATTGGCTCCTTTGTGAAATCATGACAGTGGTAGCAGAACTCAGGCTTGCCCACTAGATGGCATTAGTGTGAGATTTTCAGGATCTTGCCAATTTTTTAATTTTGTTTTGGGTACCCTATTTCTAGTTAATACTGCACCATTTGCATAAAGAGAATGTGTCAATGTTGCTGTATTCTATTTATATAATCAAATCTCATGGCCATAGATTCATAATTAACTTTTGTTAAATTGTTTACTACAAAATGATCTCAAGGAAATCTCCCATTTTTCTTATATTCATTAATTATTAATCAGTCTTTACCACAGGCTATATGGAGGCTCTTGTAAGGCTTGTATATGCTTTCTGATACCAGAAATGATCCTTACCTTAAAAGTGACCACATGAATGTGGGGACTGCAGATTTAGGTTACATGGGATGATTGATGGTATTCACACACATTTCTATGTATGTATTTACAGTTTACAAATAATGAGTTATGTAGAATACCTCATGAAGTACTTAGCAAGGAAACTCTGATGGAATGGGATCAGATCATGTCAGAATACCCTCAGCAGTTATAGTCTATATGTACCGCCTTTCTCTCCCAGCTGTACACTGTAGTGAAGCCCACCAACAGTAGGACTTTTTGCTGAGATGGACTTGTTTACAGTAGGGCTATGGGGTGGAAAAGAAGCAAATAGAAGCATTTGTTAAGAGTGTGACTGTTTCAAAAGGTTTTAGGTTTTTACTCGGCTTTTCCCTTGATTTTTTTTTAACTTATTTGTCTTTAAAATTGTTACTATTATTATTATCATTATTATTATTGGTTCTTGAGATTGAATCTAAGGCCTCATGTATGCTAAGTGGATGTTCTACCACTAATCTGTGTTCCCAGCCTCTTGGCTGCCTCTCTTGTATGGACTGTCTCAAGTTGCTAGAGAAACTGTACTTCAGATAAACTTGCAAAGCCCACAGATGCAACTTCCAAGCTATACAGTCAGGGTGGACAAGTATTTTGAATGTCCCTCTCTTTCATTAGATGTGTACAGGGCAAGGCCTTTTCATTTTTATCATTTTTTTTTATCAACATCATGGTGAATTCTTTGAAAAGGAATGCTGGAGTACTTTAAAAATCTTCACTGGATTATATTTCTTTTTTATACAAATTGGCAAGATGAAATTTTTTGTTTTTAAGGAAGATTGATGTATAGAGAGTAAGTTACAGTTTAAATTGACCACTGTGTTCAACACATACAACTTTTTATTTAAAAAATTTTTTAGATTATTTTATGTGTATGAATGTTTGCCTGCGTTTATTTTTGTGTACCTGGTCCTTATGTGGGTTCTGGGAATTGAACCTGGAGCAAAATGAGAAAGTGCTTTTGCTGAACCATCTCTTTAGCCATTTATCTTCTTGTTTAAAATTAACCTATGTTTATATTTGAGACAGAATTAAATATTTCTATTTTATACATTGTAAGAATAGTTACAGTGGTAATTTAGTTGGGTTTGGGAGATTGCACCTTCTGATGTCTCTTGATAAAGATGCATATAGTTTAAGGTCTGTACTATCTGTTATTTTTCACCTAGTGATATGAGCTGGTCCGTTGATGGGCCCCAAAGAAAGAATAGGTGATTGGAAGCTATATTCTAGGAAAAGGACTCTTTAGCAATCGCTCAGCCACTTACATTTCTGGAAGGAAGCCTATTGAGGATCATTATTTATGATAAATTGTTATGTCTAGGAAAAGCAAGGAGAGAGGTTTTTTGCTCACAGCTTCTGTATCCCTGTTCCTTACATAGTAAATACTTGTTAAATGAATGGATAAATTATTCCAGAAAAGACTGTTAATACTTTATTTTAACATTTACATTCATGGGATAATTTTACTGGGAAGGTTTTTACACTTCTTTCTTGAATTAAAAAGTGTGCCAGGTATGAGCTCACATTCTAAATTTTATTTCTTTAAGATTTTGTGTGCAAGTGCAGATGTCACAAATGGGAGGTCAAAGAGAGGACAGTTTGTTCCTTCTGGGGCTTAAACTTAGGTTGTTGGGCTTGGTGTCAGGAATCTGCTGATCCATCTTTCTGGTTCACAGTGACAATTTGTATTTCTGTTCTTTTAACTAGATATAGGAGACTTTGAAATTCCTGAAACCAGGCATTTCTCTAATTCATTAGGAAAAGCTGCTAGTTTAGGAAGGTATGCAAAATCACTTCCCCAGAGAATAAAGTACACAGTCCTCATAGGTGAGAATTCAGTGCTCATTGGGTCTGAAAAGTCCTGAGAGTATACTGTAACCCTTAGGGTGGTGTGGAAGTCACTTTTCAGTATTCTTCCCCAACTTTAAGGTGTATTTTAGTCATTTGGGGCTGTATATTTGCTGGAAGCCATTAAGGATTTAGTGTATGTGTTTATCTGTAGTTTAGGTTCATGAGACGTATATCCAGTCTGTAAGAGGGGAGAACAAGAGATTTAAAACATCATTTCATAGGACAGTTCTCTAATACAACATCTCTCTCTTGCTTCAGCTATTCCAAAGACCCAACGCCCTTGCTGTCCAGCAGTTGACAGCTGCCCAACAGCAGCAGTATGCGCTTGCAGCAGCCCACCAGCCTCACATTGGTAAGTCCTTAAGCTCCAGAGCTCTCTTGCTATCTAGGAGAGGTGCATTCTGGGAGTTCCTGTAAATTGCTCACCCTGGAGGCAGAGAGGTTGAAGTATAGTGTGAATTCCAGGCCAGCCTGGATTATACAGTGAAACTGTCAGAAAAAAATAAAAGACTATGGTGGATGGAGTAAATTCAGAGTAAATGGCCTCTTTCTAGTGTCTACTTGTCTCTAGCCCATATTTATTTTATTTTAGATGTGCTAGACCTGAACTCATAAGTTTTCTTTGGTATCCATTTTTTATGTACCTTAAATGTATCAGGATTTAAACACTTTACTAGAGAAATGACTACTGATACCTTTTGGTAAGATTAGGCAACAGATCCAGGTGTGGTGGTGCACATTTATCTCAGCGCTCAGGAGGCACAGGCAGGAGTATTTCTGTGAGTTGGAGGCTAGCTTACTCTACAGTGAGTTCCAAGCCAGCTAGGGCTACAGAATAACGTCTTGTCCTCCCAAATAAATAAATACATTGATTTCAGCACCCATGATGGGGTAGTTGGGGTTTTGTGTAGATACTGTATCAACTTACTGAGTAGCAATAGTGCTTTCGTTGCTTTTAGATTCACCTTCCAAGCCTTGTCTTCCCTTTGTTGGGGTGAGTTTGGCACATATTTCAATCTTCACCATGACCTTTCTATTATTGGAACTCTATTTTTAGTTTTTTGAGGCACAATTACTGTGTAGTCCCAGCTGGCTTCAGACTCAAGTCAATTTTCTTCCTTTAGCTTCCTGAGTGCTGATACTACAAATGTGCCCGCTGTACCTGGCACTCCCCAGACCTTCCTCTCTTCTCTTTCTCTTTTTTTAAAATCTCTTCTCTTCTTTTAAAAACAAAACAAAACAAATAAACTATCCTTTTTACTATACATACCAATCCAAGTTCCTACTACCCCTACCCAAGTTCCCACTACCCAAACCTTCTTAAGACTCTTCAGACTAAATGTCATGACTGCTCATAAGTGGTAGTGGAGATTTCTTTCATTCTTGCTTCAAAAGTACATAGACATGAGCAGAAAGGAGACCCTGGATGTGGTATGCAAGGAAGAAGAAAGAGTACTTAATCACATCCTAGTTGACACAGAGTGGGCTGGCATTATACACATGTAAATTGTAGTCTTTATTAATGTTTTTGATGGAAGTAAGTCCGTCTCAATAAGTGTTTTGAAGCAATTTTAACAGTAAACTTGAAAAACTAATGAGTTTAATATTTGAAGAAGGAAGTTAGTGTATACACAGTGAATTCAGTGTCCACATGACCCTTAGATCTAATTCCCAGCACCACAAATAAAACAATAAACTGAATGCCTAACAATCTAGCTGGTTCTAAACTGTAATGGACATTTGTATTGTGGATGTAGAGGGGTCACTTGACATTCAGGAGGCTTTGGGTTTGATCTTAGTTAGTATGGAGCCAAAATAAAAATGATATATAAGTGATCTGTTACCAACATTACTTTAATAAAGATGGGAAGGGGTGCACAAAACAATCTAAACTAGCCATGGTAGTCCACCACTTGGAAAACTGAGGCATGAGGAGTGTAAATTCAAGGCCTACAGAATGAGACCCCCATTTCAGAAAGATAGGCTGGGCTGATGCTTAGTGGGTAATATTGATTTTTGGGAAGAAGACCTGAGTTCAAATCTCTAGTACTCACAAAGACAAAGTAGATTCCAGCTTTGGGGAAGGGGAACAGGAAGATTACTGGCATGTCTTTGTAGCCAAAACAACATGTACAGCCGTAAAACGTCTTGAAAAATACTGTAGGAAGCCATAGAAAAGTGTGTGTGTGTGTGTGTGTGTGTGTGTGTATGAGTATGACCCTTTCACAAGGGGGATTGAATATCAGATACCGTGCATATCAGATATTTACATTATTATAACACTAACAACATTACACTTATAAAGCAGTAATGAAATAATTTAATTGTTGGGGTCACCACAATATGAAGAACTGTATTAAAAAGGGTCAAAGTATTTGAAAAGTTGAGAACCTTTGTTATAGAGGAAGGAACCCATTGTCTTCCTCTGTCTTCCCTATGCTCATACACAGACACATACACAAATGTCACAATGGCTTTTTATATTGAGGGTATATTATCTTTGTGAAATTCCTCTCTACTGTACAGCCTATTCTCTCTTCCCTTTCCTTCCCTTCATCTCCAACCTGGAATGCTAGCTGAATTAGAGAGATGTGTAGTAGGGCTGTAGTTTCGTCGTTTATTTTTACTGACAGGTGTGTTTCCAGCAGGTTTAGCTCCCGCTGCGTTTGTCCCCAACCCATACATCATCAGCGCTGCTCCCCCGGGGACGGACCCCTACACAGCTGGATTGGCTGCAGCAGCGACACTCGGTGAGACATCTGCTGCATGAGGGATTTACTCACCAGCTAGAAAAGGGCATGCCTTCTTTCTACTCTGCCTAATACATGTCTCCAACAAAAAATGTTTCCTGATCTCAGCGCTAGTCCCTTGCCAGTCAGATTTCTCTGCTTAGCTATTACTCTCCCCGTTCTGCCTAGATAAACAAGGTCCTATCCTGGACCACTATCTTGGATCCATCCAATTGCTAGCTCACGTTGCAGGATATTTGCTCAGCTGTTTTCTGCTGGTACCACAGGGAGTTTACTATTTCCTTACCTTCTTGCTTTGCAGCTTTCTCTTCTTCCACTCCTCCAAATTGCATAGCTTTTAAACACAAATCTTATACACAAATGCCTTGTATTTGTCTTTTCCCTAATCTACTGTTGCATGTTGCTGTTACTGTTGTATACAGCTCATCATCAGAGCTTTAGGAGATGGTGGTTGTTCCTTGGACTTAGTAGCTACTAGTATTAAAATTCTGAAGATTGGCTGAGGTTGACTCCTTATGTATTGTCCTCCCTCCAGCAACTGGAGCCATGCACACTCTTCCTCCTATGTGGTCATATTGGCTCACACCACACACCACAGCTAGCCCTATGGGATTTCAGTTTCCTTACTTTCCCAACTTGGGCCTCTGTCTCCAGACATCCATTACAGTTTGTGCATGGGATGATCTCTTACCTGACACCTTTGGTTTTTATTTACTTGTAGATGAATTCATGATGGTCTTGCCCTTCCTTCAATTTCCCATAAATGTTAAAGTGACTTCAGTTTAGCATGATGATGAAAGCAACAACCTCTGAAGCCTTTGGGGTACATATACCCCTCTCTAAGTTATGCTCATTTCAACACAGTATCAATGTGAGATTTCATCAACTCTGTGGTCTGTGGTTCATTTATTTCTGGTGTGTAGTTTTCAGTGATGATGTCACAGCAGCTCGTCATTTCTGAGATTGATCTCTAGAGTTGCTTCCCTGGTTATAATGGTAGCCTATTTAATGCTGTTACTCGTTCTGCCTTTGGGGAGAGTGGAAAGCTCTGTCAGGTAATGCGATCTTGTCTTGCTACTATTACCATTTGCCTCACACCTGTTGGCCATGCACTGCCCTTAGTGCTTTTTATTTTATTTTATGTCTGAGTCGTTCAGTAGTGACTTTACAGCTTTGAAGTTTGGAGTTCAGAAAGAAAACAGTCTTATGTTGGGTCATGATTTAATTCTATGTGGTCAAGGTTTTAGCCAGGTTTGATTCTATGACATTAAACATCTGTGCTATCTTCAGTTACCTTTCCTTTATTGCGTAATGTGTGTTAACTTGAACACGGAATGAGTTTCAGAATAATGAACGTGTAGTTTTGAAATGATAGATTGGTGGTTAACAATTTGCATATGAGCTTGAGACTGTAAATGGAAGGAAGTGTTTTGTTAACATGGAAATTTAAGCTGGCATTCTGATAAGCCAGTTTCAACTAAGCTCTTGGGGGGTGTTTAGTTTTGGCCGCATGACCAAGGTAGAGTAATGGAAGTGCCAGATGAAGGATTTGAATGTTAAATTTTTAGGGTGCTGTCCTTATAGGTCATACACCATGCACTGGGACAGTTCCCTTAAGCGCCTTTCCTCACCCTGCTGTGTCTTTATCTTACTAATATTTGTACCCTGGTGAGGTGAGTTTGTAGGTGGTTGTTTTCTTTAGCTTTTGAATTGCTTAGGTTTTTATAAGTCAACAAATCATTTTTATCTCTTACTTATTGTAAGAAGATGGTTTGTATTGTAACATAGTTTTCCTCAACAACACTGTCATTTTGCAGCTGGCTGTAGAGTTTCACAGTGGGCATTTTTGGTCATGCTAAGCCTTTAGGCAGTGGTGCAGTCAGACTGGCTTGTGCTTAGAAACTGGAGAACGTGTGACAGTTTGTTTTTGTTAATGAGAAGCAGCTCCTCTCCCTGCACAACTATACCATGAGAAACAGCTCTTTGGAACGCAAGTGTAATATTTTCCCTGTGCTGTGACTGTGAATGATGCAGGTATGTTTCACCAGAATTGAGGAGCTGTCTTTGGATACTTTCTCTTTTTTTTTCTTTCTGTACATTCTTTTATTTATTTAAATTTGCTCACACGATTCACCTTTAAAGCCTCCCACTGTCTGATGGCAAATTACACCCTTTGTGTTTTCATCATCAGCTTCCTGCATAGAATTTTGGCCTGGGCCTTGTCCACATCGAAGTTGCCCTCTGAGCCACCCTTTTACATTCAGATCTGCTGTTTGGCTCTGTGTGCAGTCACTGGAGTTGTCACCTATCACCAAAGAAGGTCTTCAGTGTGCTTAGTTACAGTGCTGTGGTCAGTGATGAGTTAAGGTTAAAGTATGCATTTTTTTTTTAATCGCTGTCATTGAAATGTACAAGTTGAAATACCAGTGTTTGTGTTGAGTAGCTTAGGACTTTAAACATGGAAATAGATAGAGGGAAAAAGTAGAGCGTTTTTGAAAAAGTGTGGTGGAGGTCCTGTTATCAGAAGGAAATAGATTTCATCTGGAGTTAGTGCCACATGGGTGTGGTAGCCCTGTGCAGTTAAAGTGCAGCTGGGTTTTCTTATTTTTCTTTTTGTATATGTTGTGCCATCTCCTATTTATTTCTCTTTCAACAGTATACTTTGTCTATTGTCCATCATACATCTTTTCCTTCTCATGGGGTGAATATAACTTCTGGATGGCTATGCTGGTTAACGCCTATAATCTCAGCGCTTGGGAGGCTAAGACAGGAGCATCTCTAGTTTGAAGCCAGATTGGGTTTCATTGCAAGACTTTGTTTCAGGCAGTTTCTCCTTTTGTTTAGCCCCATCCCTTCAGTTCTCCTCCCAGCCTCTCCTTTCAGTAACTTCACCACCTTACCCTTACATTGTCAGGCTGTAGTGCATTCCTGCCTTCAGAAGACCCTGCCAGGAGGACCAAATACAATCACAGTCCATCTTGTTCCTTCCCCCTTGGTCATAATTATTAGCTAGCACAAATCTTTGTTTTCCTTAAATTAATATTTTTTGGATTTCCTCTTTCAAGATCTGAATAATTCTAAGGTCATTCTTTCTAAACGTCTCTTTCCTTTCTCTGGTTATTTTTAGGCCCAGCTGTGGTCCCTCACCAATATTATGGAGTCACTCCATGGGGCGTCTATCCTGCCAGTCTTTTCCAGCAGCAAGCTGCTGCAGCTGCAGCAGCAACAAATTCTGCTACTCAACAGAGCGCTCCACAGGCCCAACAAGGACAGCAACAGGTAAAGGCAACACCAGCCACTCCTGTGAGGGCAATTCATGGTGTGTGCTACTCATTAAGAGGCAATGTCCCTCTTAATCACAGTCTTATGAGTGCCTGTGTGCACTCATATGTGCATGTGTGCAAGCCATTCATAGGTGATGCTGATCCTGTTCATAAAACACTGAGTGCCTTATATGTTTATGGTGTGTGTGAGTGAGTCTGTGACTTACCAGTGATGATACTTGTCATCTCTCTCTCTCTCTCTCTCTCTCTCTCTCTCTTTCTTTTCTTTCTTTCTTGAGACAGGGTTTCTCTGTAGCTTTGGAACCTGTCCTGGAACTAACTCTTGTAGACCAGGCTGTCCTCGAACTCACAGAGATCCTCCTGCCTCTGCCTCCCGAGCACTGGGATTAAAGGCGTGTGCCACTACTGCTGGGCTTGGTTCTCTGTATCTTAAAATGCTGTGTGCCTGTGTGTGT